CACCCACACCCACACCCACACCCACACCCACACTCCACACCCCACCCCACACCCCACACCCACACCCACACCGCACATCCACACCCACACACTCCACACCCCACACCCACACACACCCACACACCCACAACCACACACACCCACACCAACACCTTATCTAATATCCTCATGAAACTCCAATTCATCCTTTCTCTTCACTTGTCCACTCGTCAGCATACTCATCCTTAGGATTTCACCTAGTCTCAATCATATAATTCTAGTGTGGAATATATTGGAGCAGATCAGCGAAAAATTCGCAACACTTCATTCTTCTTATAAATAATCGTCACTTTCTGCCACTCTCGCATTCTTTCGTTATTTTTTTAAGCGTTCTGTGTACATAGAAAAATCAAGCAGATTTTCTAGTTACTCGATTCACTGAGCGAGAAATGATGCCAACAATAAAAATGTGCCACATAAACGTAACATAAGAAAAAAAGAGTTTCTTTTCTTTTCTTACTTTTTCTATTTGTTTCAGTTAAAATTTTTGATTTAAAAATAACAATTTGATTGCAAAAAGAGTGAACACATAGTTCGAAATGTCCGATAATAATGATGATGCTGATTTAGTCAACATTGTATCGTTAGTCGATGAGCTTGTTGTTGCTCAGCAAACTGAAAGGATCAATGGTATACTCTCCAAATTACACGATGAATTAGAAACTCTTAGTGGAAATTTCTACATATCATCCTTGTATGATTCACTTGAATCATGTTTTGTTAAACTTTGCCAATTATTACTAACAACATCATTATCATCATCTTCCTTGTTAATAAATTGCTGTTTGACAACGATTAGAATACTTCTTATCAATGGTTATTTCTCGCAGAATATGGAATGTAATCCATCAAAATCTGATCAATACTATACATTGGCTATGGATGCGTTGAATACACAACTAAATCTAGATTATCTACAAGACAAGGAACATGAATTCGACATTGATTTGCATGAAGTTTATCTCCAAATGTTTTTATATTTCGCTCGAGAAGTCATTCGATTTCGAAATCGACGAAGAGAATTACTTAATGTTCAGCAATGGAATTCTTATCAATCATGTTTAGAAGATAAATATCATTCGTTCATCAAATCTCTTCTCTCGTTTATCGATAAACACTTGAATTTCGAAAATGATTTCTCGCATCAACTTTACTTTTTCGTTAGTCTCTCTGATGATACCAATCTTGTTCCGACTCTAGTTCAATGTGAACTGCCACAGTATGCCAGATCTTGGATATCAATGTTGAATAAGACGAAGTCATTCGTAAGCATTGCTTTATGGGAACCCATCTTACTCATCATTAACAATGCTGCCCGACATGAAGACGGTTCGAATATCTTCAAAAGCATTCAGATGAATGAGGCATTGAATAATTTTTGGGAATGTCATAGATACATGTTATCGACAAATTTAATCGCAATATATTATATGGCCTATGCACTGATTGTAACACCTGACGAATTAAAATCTACCACTGTTCTTCATGATGTTATTGACTATCTAGTCTCAAATATCAATATTGCTTCCGAAGCATCCGATATGCGTACTTCTTCGGCACATATATCCGAATATCTTATTGCACTTGCACGATTGGTTATTAATGATAATGTTGCTCAATATATTATCAGTAAATGTAAAATAAATGCTACCATAGATGGATTTATATTTTTCCAAGAATTATTTCTCAAATATAATGATTTAACAGCTGATGATTTATATTTGAAATATTTAAGTCGTATTGCTCTATTCAATATTTTTTCAAGTTTTAGTTATCAAACAATAGCTCAACCTATTCTCGCGTCAAACAAGAAATTCGTCGAAATTGTTAAGAAAGCTTCACATTATCAGAATGAACAAGATGTGGTTATTCATCCGAGTCTTTTGCAACATTTATCATCAATTAAACAAGCTGCTGAAGCAATTTTGATCAATCTCGATTTATATCAAGATGAAGATACCACAAGCACATTGGTGCGGTCGAAAACAGCTCATCCACATGTGATGATCTCTTATTCACATAAAGATATAGCATTCTGTCGTGATCTTGTTCGAGCATTGAAATCACATGCGATTAATGTATGGGTCGATGAAGATGGTCATTGTCGTTCGGATGATTGTTGGGAAGAAATAGCTCGAGCTATCAAATATGCTTCGTTCATATTAGTTATTGTTTCTCCATCGTACTGTCAAAGTCCTTCGTGCCGAAAAGAAGCAACGTATGCCGATAAACGAAAGCAACCATTGATTGCTTTGTATCCAAATAGTGATAAGTATGAACCCGATGAATGGCTTGACATACGACTGACTGGTACGTATGTACGCTTTGGTGGCAACGGTAAAAAGTCGTTCGATGATTGCATTGTTCGTCTACTCGAATATATCCAACCTCAAGATGGTGCCAGTGTGAAAGCAAACGTACCCGAACAGACATCATCTCTATTGCCACCACCTGAACATTCGCATCATATGCCCGTCAGCAATGCCAAACCAATAGATATCCTGTCTTCAGTACCAACCGAATCTCTCACAAAGACAAAGTCGTCTATACATGATTGGACAAAACAAGATGTAGAGACATGGTTCTTGATCGAACGTCAACTCTTACCAGAACTTTATCAAATGTATTCATTCGTCGATGGTGATTCATTATTCGAATATGCCAAATATTTTCTACAAGAACATGAACATGATGCAAAACAACAATATGAGAAATTACAAAAACGTCTCCGAGATCAATCCGGTGTAGAACTTTATGATAATAATTACACGGATTTTGTGTGCTCGATGAAAAAACTATTGTTAGCATACAAGACCACGAAAACGATGCAAAAAGGTTCATCAGCATGTCTGATTGTGTAGAGCAACTATGAGCAAAATGCAAGTGATCTTCAAGTCATTGACAACACATTTGGGTGTGGGTGTGGGTGTAGTTGCAGAAGAGAAGTGAACCCGCCTCCACACCCACACCCTCGATCTTATCTATTGCGCACTTTTGACTTGCCCGAGTTAATCTTGAATATTTTTCGTTCCTAGATCTACAATCATAAAATGATAAATGCATGAATATGTGCCTATGAATACCCACACTCCGCCACTTTATAAGGAGTAGCATTCAGGACGAACTTTTGTTGTTCGATGGCGTTGAGTTGCCAAGTCTATTTTACTACTCACATTTTGTCTTGTTCCACACAGTTCGTTTGACAAAAAGGTTGTTAGCGCAGCCCCTTTGGGGCTGAAATGTGGAACTCACATATCTCTTTTGTTTTCATTATACGAATGACAAAATACCCAATATTTGAAATCTCCAAAAGATAATAGTTCTTTTCTAAAGATAATCAATTATTAGAAAATGCTGTATTTTTATCTAAATTTCGAACAGAAATTTTTATTTTCACGAAGTTGCCAAGGTCTGTAATGGGGAGGGGGAGCGGTGGATGTCTGTAATGGTAGCCTACGTTGCTATGGTCTGTAATGGAGGACTGTCTGTAAGGGGAGGGGGTGGGGGAGGAGAGCCGCGAAACCTCGAACTTAAAACTTACACTCACTATTTTCTTCAAAAATATATGTGAGTTCCACAAAAAATCTTGTCAAATTGATGATGTTTCTATTTGCTATAAAATCGTGAATTCAGGGTGTGGGTGAGGGTGT